CGTGGGGAGCGCCGGTGCCCGAGCGGACCGGGCGCAGGGTGCAGCTCCGCCTCGCAGAGACCCTGCGCCCCCAGAGCGGTGCGTTGCTCGGCGCAGGGCTTTGCAGAGAGCTCCCCCATCCACTTTGAACACAGGGTTCAGGAAGCTGCTCTTGACGAGTTACCAAATTTTGTGTTAACATGAAAAAAATGACTTAAAATTTCACCTTAGCCCTCCAGAAGTGCTGTCTACCTTTACGCATTTGCACGGACGCATTCTCTTGCTTGGCTGCTGCATTTACACTGCCTTACCAACTGACGCCAAGCCGGGCCGAACCGTCTGTTCCAGGTACAACAGCTTGCTTCAGCTCACCGAGACGGATTTCGCTGGCCTGGAGAAGCTGGAGTTACTGATGCTGCACAGCAACGAGATCAGCTCCATCCCCGATAAAGCGTTCTGCGACTTGCATTCGTTACAGGTCAGAACTGCACAATGCGCTCGCGTTAGTTTTTGTTAGTATCTGACAGTAATCCTGCTCCACGGAACAGACCCGTGCCCTCCTTCGGCATCCCGTTCCTCGCTGTACCCCCGTGAAAGCCCAGGGCCTGCACAGGTCAGCGAGTGCCACCGCGCGGAAGGCCCTTCTCCCCGGGCAGACCTGCAGACACAGCGCAGGGAGCGTGAAGAACCTGCTGGTAGAATCTCTCAACAGTGTTTAACTGGCAACCGCAGACGAGATCCCCTTTCACACGGCAGAGAAGTTCGCACAGCTCCAAGTGCTATGTTTGCAGTAGGAAACTTGCCTTTAGTTACTTAGTTACCTTTTTTCCTTTTTTTCCTTTTTCAAATGAGATTGTATTCCCTTCAGATTTCCTTTTCACTTCAACACAATATATTCCAGAGTACTTTCTTTTTCCATCCTTCATCAGAAACGCTGCCTCCTGAATATAAATTGATTACATGTAAGCATCTTTAATGCTTTAAAAGGCTACAGTTCTTTGGTTTTATAATTTATTATATATTTGGGGACTTTAAGATGTGATATTTGATGCCTGGCATGTTCTTTGAAATATGACCTATACCTGAAAAGTCACCTATATTTACCTATGTTGTAAAAAATAGTAAACTTGTATGGTGTCATACAGGCGTCCTGGAGCCACCTTAGCATTTCTCTGTGCCATGTAGATCCTGCACAAAGAAAGTGGTTATTCAGGAATAAGCTTTCTCAACCAATTCCATGTACAGGGAACACTTATTCTCCAGCTGATTTTTAACCCAGACTGTCAGCAGATGCTACAGGGAGGTAATAAGGTTACAGCTGTGGCAATCTAACAACCTCAGAGACGCCTGAGCTGCCCTGGCAGCACCGTGGTAGTGAATCAAACGCTGGCCTTGGAGGTCTGGGAAGAGGGGAGAGACAGCGAGAGCCTTTGGAGCCTCTAAATCCACCCTCAGCTTCCCTGGGCCCTCCCGGAGGCTGGTGCTGGGCTCCAGAGCTTGCCCATTAATGCCCTGCAAGTGGCTTCATAAAACATATATGCCTGTTCCGATAAACCTTCCTTGCTTAGCAATAAGAAAGGGTAACACAAAATTAAAAATGTTTTCAATGGAATTCTATCTGGCAGATAAAATGAACTTATATTATTGGGGTTTTGTACTTTTTTCTTCCTAGCTTTCAAATTAAGAATTCTCAGTTGCAGCAATATGAGTTTAACAAGAAAAGTAACAACCAAAAGGGTGTCTCTCTCAGGTACCGTATTCAGTATTTCAGCAGTACAGAAGATCTGTTCACGTTATTGTTCTGTGGTTGACCTGCCAGCAACAAAACAGCAGCTGGGAGTTGAGATCAGCAAGTCGACCACCCCACAGCATAGACATCTCCAACTGGAACAGCTTAGCAGCCTATCGGTTGAGCTGCAAGATGGACTCTCCTGTAATATTGCCTGGAACAAACCAAACCAAACCAACAAGCAAAATCACATAGTTTATGGCTTGTCCTTTTCATAAATGTGCTTTAATTATGATGTTTTGAATGGCTAAAAAGAACAAGCATTCCTTTTTTGGGGTGTGTAGGGGGGTTCTTTCTTTAACCAACAAGCAAAATCACATAGTTTATGGTTAAAGTTTATGGCTTGCCCTTTTCATAAATGTGCTTCAATTATGATGTTTTGAACGGCTAAAAAGAACAAGCGTTCCTTTTTTGGGGTGTGTAGGAGGGTTCTTTCTTTACCTACTGCATTTTGTAAGTGTGACTGCACAAGTATCACCTTGATGCATGGTTGGAAGACGAAAGTATCCCTGTAGTCATATTCAACTAACACTGCATTTAAAAATAATTCCTCCTATTGGGAGAAGAGCTTGGCACGGTTGCATATGGACCACAATAGGATTGAATTTGTGCATCCCAATGTTTTTTATGGACTCACATCACTGAGACTGGTCCATTTGGAAGGAAATTTGCTTAAGCAGCTTCACCCCGATACTTTCATCACCTTGCGCTATATTGAAATATTTAAAGTATCGTCCATAAAGCATATATATTTGTCCGACAATTTGTTGACTTCACTACCACAAGAAATGTTTTCCCACTTGTCTGAGCTGGAGAGCATTTACCTTCACGGAAACCCTTGGGCCTGCGACTGCAACCTGCACTGGTTTGCAGAATGGGCACAGGAGAGACCAGGTGAGCTGACCATTTTGTTTCTACTTCTCAGTCATGGTACAGTACCCTAAACTTTATGATGAGGGTAACTGTCCTTCTGCTCCCAGAAAGGAAGGGACATACAAATGTATCTGATTTATTTCTAATTGTCCTGCGGCTGATTTGTGACCTATTCACAGCACCTACACAACAATTCTTTGTCCTTCTTCAGTTCTTTTTCTGTTCTTCAATTCATCACACACATCTTATCCCTTGAAAACCACAGCAAGTTCAAATTCAAGTGCCAGGTGTGAAGCATAAGAAACATGAAACAACCCCCTTGTTATGGCCTGTCAATTATTAATTGACTTACAGATAGCAGATCATCACTGTAAACCTGCATGATTTGTGACGTTTTCTGTTTCTTATTTTTACGCTACTTAAAATGTTACTCCTTATCCTCTGTTACTCACAAAGTGCAATGCACATTCAAGGAAAAAATTATTCCTCTAAACTCTTATCTGTCTTTTCCAGGACTGTTGGTTAACAGGATTACTGTATGTGTATGTAATCAAGACAAACAAATGAGTAACATTCGGTTTCCTGGATCTAATGAATCTAGTAGTATTAACCCATTTCCAAGTGCAGCTTTCCCTGATGGACCTTTGGCCAGCCCGAGGTTTCTGTGCACCAGGAGACCGTGTTCTGTTTGTGGCCACTTACAGACACTGCTGCTACATGGGGTTAGAAGGGCATGGTTCCAAGTAGCCACGTGTCCCACGTGGGACTAGCTGCAATTTTTTCTTTTTTTTTTTTTTTGACAGAATGCAGTTATTTTGGCTCGCTCCATTCTCCTGTCAACTGTGGAAAAAATAACACATGTATATATGTGAGATGATGGAAGCATACATCATGTGTTATTTTCTCCATGGCTGATAATTTGTTTTCTGGAACCACTCTTTTTCTAGGTTTTAATATAATTAAATATACTTGTCTTAGAGCTGCAGCTTGAGGAACAAGGCTTTACAAGAAATAAGCTGCTTTCTTCATACACGTTTCTGATATTGCTTTCATAAAAACTTCAAATCAGTACATTTTATCAAAGAACTCTGGTGACAGAGAAAGACATCTGGTGGATTAATTTTTGGAAAGCATGAGTAAGATTGGAGGGAAGGGTTGTCTTATGGATAAAAGAGAATGAAGTGAGCCAAAATATCTGCATCCTCTTCCTAGTCCCGCCAGCGGTGCCAGCTGGAGTGCAAGGCTGCTTGGGAGGCGCAGGGATTGCAGCAAACGCGCCGGCCTGCCCGTCGGAAGCGGTGCCGGCCCGCGGCCACGCTCCTCGGCACCCAGCCGTTCTGTTCAGAGCTCGGCCTTGACTCCAGGGCTGGCTTAGCTGCAGATTTACATTATTTTATGTTGTGTAGGACATACTACAACGTTGTTTTTCCTTCCTTTGTTCCTTCATTCACATAAGGAAGCTGATTTTCACATAACCAGCAGCAGTCGTAGCCACATCGTACTTGATGCTTTGAAAAACAATCGAGATGCTGCTGCCCTGAGCAGAGGTTGCACGCAACAGCCTAATGTCACCTGAACTCCTGCTGCAGCCTGTATCGCTCAGGACACAGCCACGTTCAGCAGAGCCTTCCTTGCACCGTGCAGACACTAAAGCTGTCCACGAGCACTGTACTGTGCTGCAGTGACCATTACGCTTGAGGTTTCACTAAGGAAACTTTGTAAAAGTTGGTGACCACTTTAGGATGAACTGCGCAAATATTTTATTCCAGAAAATAACTTGTCGGTAACTATGAAAGATGAAAACATGTTTTCATATGAAAAAAATTGTATCACAAAAGCTAACTACATTTTTCCTTCCTTTAGATGTTATAAAGTGCAAAAAAGACAGAAGCTTTTCTGGTGCTCAGCAATGCCCAGCCTGCGCTAAGCCCCAAAACTGTACAGGGAAAAACTTAGTGCATATTCCAGCTGCATCCTTAGTGTGCACTAAGCCAGACATACATCACTCCCTGAAGCTGAAAAACATCCCAGTGCCAGATGATGGGGATTTCAGTTCCTTATCTCCCGAGGACTTCATAGCTCCTATAGGATCCATGGTTTTGAACATGACCGACCAAGCAGGAAGTCGAGGTAACTTGGTTTGCAACATCCAAAAACCTAAAGAAATGTCTCCCGTCTCATTTGACAAAGATGGCAATAATACAGTACTCAAAGTATCACTCTCAGCACTTCTTGTCTGTGACATTAGTTATGAAAATATTCAGCAGCTGTGGAGCATTTTGGCCTTGTACAGCAATTCTCCCCTTGAACTAGAAAGGACTATCTTACCAACCAAATACAAGCAGATCCACTCAGAAAAGAATGAACTTTTTACCAATATAGAAACTGAACTGAGAGCTGAACCATCTTGGTTAATGCAAAACAAAGTAGCATTACAGCTAGACAGGACAGCAACCACACTTAACACATTGCACATCCAGTACTTCAGTGATGCTCAGATTATTTTGCCCAGTGTTGACAAGAACCAAGTGAGAAACAGCTGGACAATCATCTCCAGGGACAACAAAACACAAACCCAGCACACTGTTGTAGTTGGGGGGACAGTGGAACTAGAGTGCCGAGCACTCGGAGAACCAGCTCCTGCAATAGAGTGGATACTGGCTGACGGGAGCAAAGTTAGAGCCCCTTACATCAGCGAAGACGGAAGAATCATTGTAGTTAAAACTGGAACGTTTACATTACGGACAGCTGACAGTTTTGATACTGGACTTTATCATTGCATAGGAACGAATGATGCTGATGCAGATATTCTCACATTTAGAATTACTGTGGTTGACCCTTATGAGGAACACACTCAGGTCAACGGAGCTCAACTTTCTACATTTATTGGTAGCGTACTCTACCTTCCTTGTCCATCCGCTGCTGTTCCAGATGCTTCCATTAGTTGGGTGCTACCTGAGCATGTGATTCTTCATCATTCTGTAAGAGACAAACATATTTTTGAAAACGGTACCTTGAAAATTCAAAGTGTGACCCAGCAAGACAGTGGCTACTTTAGATGTGTTGCAGCCAACCAATACGGTGTCGATCTTCTGGTATTTCAAGTGCATGTCAAAACGGATGAAACCAAGCTGCAGAAAATGCATTCAGCTGTGGGAGAAGGGGAAGTGGAAGAGGGCTCTGGCAATGTAATGCTTGCCCCCATTGCAAGACGTAAAAATTCCTTGGCTTCCCTGGCTACCTCGACAGCTCCTCGGGAGTCTGCAACTCCAGCCCCTGAAGAGCAGACCTTGCAGAGTGCAAGAAAGAAGAGCTTTGGGAAAACGACTTACCGGCGCCACAGGGACAAAGCAAGCAGGAGGCTCAGAGGACACAGGAGACAGTTCATTTCCTCAGCCAGGAGAGTTGATCCACAGCGCTGGGCAGCCTTGCTGGAAAAAACAAAGAGGAATTCGACACTGACAGAAAAACAAACAGTGCTTGCAACAAACCTACCTATTCAAGCCCTTATGTCCTCCAACATATCTGAGGATGAAGAAACATCTGGAGAACCCACATCTCCGGAACTAGAGTCTATGACACTGGCAACGCAGACACCCTCTGTATCTCCCCTGGGAAAAGCAATGGAAAACATGGCAACTGCAGAGCTCCCGACTGCCACAAGCAACATTCCTGCAGGGAAAACCTCTGTCTGGGCTGCAGGTGCAGTAACTCCACCAGCTCCTCCATTTCAACAATCTGTCTCACCTGACACCAGAAAGCCACAAATATATCTAAAACCTACAGTCACAAACCCCAAATCACAGGAAAGATCTGACTTAAGTCAAATACCAGTAAATGGTATGGAACAATCAACTGTATCATATGGAGCAAGTAGAACATCAACAGTCTTCAATGCTGGGCACAGATTGGTATCTTCTGAGGAAAATAACAGCCAATATTTAAAATTCGTATCTGTGACACCCATGGCAAGTGCTGTTGCCACCAGCAAGCATGTAACTCCTACCAAACCAGCAGAAAAGCTGCTTGTTTTTGCGGAGTCTATTGACAAAACCTTGACCAGAGCAGATCCTCAGGCGTCTGCAGTGACAGTCAGTGAACCAGCCAAGGAGTTGGGTTACATTTACCTTCACAGCACTCAGAAACTCGTAACTCCTAAGCTACCGGGCTCAGCTAACGTTACACATCAGCAAGTCCAGCGTTTTGGAGACGTTACTCATACACCCCAGGTCCGGCAGCAACACGGGAGGCGGAGGAAGGTTTCTGTTAGGAGACGCATCATCAGACCAGACCGAATCCCAGGCCTGAACGAGCACAGATACAGCCTGGGGAGCCCAGGCTCTACCAGAGGAAGAGCAGCTGCCGTTCCAGGTGTCCAACCAACTACAGATCACATCTCAAATTCCTTCAGTGTAAATCATTTAGACAGTTCCCTCAACCCACATAGCCCAGAAACACCTCTGTCTCCCTCCTTTACCACAGATGGCCAATTAGAGCACCCAGTGGATGCTCACAGAAACACAGCACTTCTGAAAGAGAAAAGTGAACTTACGGCAAGACAAGAAGCAGCTTCTACAGTTGTGCCATTCATTGCAGAAGACACGCGGGCTGATTCTCAGTGGAAATCTATGGCTTCATCTCAACCAAACGCTGTCAGCACCCAACCCATTGCTTTGGAACCACCACCAATGCTCCACACGCCCCATGTTGCTGCAGAAACCACACATACTGTAAGCACTGAGATATCACCTACTTTTGATCCCATTTCACCCCATGTTAAGTTGAGAATGTCACCCAAAAATTATCAAATAGAAAAAATTACTTGGGAAGGTGTCTTTGGGAATGACACGGACAAGGTGCAGCTGAAGAAGCTTCCCCAAAACCACGCAGGGGTGCTTCCATCACCGGATATATCAACTGCACATCCTGCAACTCTAGCAGCCTTACCGACATCTGACGCTTCCCCTTTGGACGTAGCGCCCGTGTCAAGGGAGGAGAGCCGCGCTGCCGGTCCCCTGTCCCCAGATGAAGATGTTCCTGGTGACTGGGACACCTCGAGGAAACTCTCCCCCGCCGCGGGGCTGCCTCCTCGCGCCAGCCCTGCAGCC